AAGGTATAGTTAGAAAAAGATTTGAGACTGAGTCTGAAATAGATAAGTGGTATCAATCAGTATTTTGTCTACCAGCAATGTTTGTGCATGATGTGGCATTATCCTACATATGTATGTATGCCAGGGTAGACTCCATGCTATTTATGGAGATCTCTGACATTGATTTGTCTCCCAGGTAGGTGCACTGGGATGAAATTAGCTTTTTCCATGTTAAGTGCTTGGCTTATGTCTTTTGGGTAATCACTAATGTATATTGTTAAGCAGGGCAATCCAAGTCCTCCTCCATTTTCAGTGAAGTATTAGATGAGTCCTTTGGTATTTAGTAGTGGATTAGATCTTAGACTCATTAGGTCATGTGAGCTAATGAGTTAAGTTGTCAAATCATTCATCCTACAGTTTTAACCAGTCAGTCAGTCAGTGGGGACAAAGAGGGTGTATAAGCACTGTCCACCCTTCATTTCCAGTTACGAGAGTCCCTTTTGAAAATTTATTTGACCCCCCATGGTTGTCTGATGGGTGTGATCATTCACAGAGTATTCAAATAGCCAGAGTTTAGTTGTTGTCCTGGATGTGCATGTGTTAAGATAAGTAGTTTAGTCATTCTGACAACTATGGGCATCTCCAAATACTTGTTAAGAGAGTTTGTGACTCTTGATGTTAGGCCACCTTTCAGTCCACTTCCTGGTCTGACAGCAAAGGGTAATGAAGTTACACTACTAAGGTATGTAAAAGTCTGTGTGACTTGATGTCAGTGCTGCAAATGAATCACAGTCAGACAATTATTGACAAGCAGACCCTCAAAGTAATAGATCTTGTAGAAAATTTATGAATGAGAATGAATATTTCCACAATACAAGAGATGTATTTCTGATGAAGATATCATTGAAACCGGTCAAATACATCTCTTGTATTGTGAAGATATTCATTCTCATGTATACCTTTTCTACATTTGTCAATATGAATATGGTTAATTGGTCTTGGTCAAAGAGACCTCTAGACCCAAGGACTGCCTCCTGCCAAGTGCTTGAAAAACTGCCGTGAGGGTCTACAGAATTTCAGGTGATATAGAAACATCATTAACATAGTCAAGGTCTGGAACTGTAACCCCATGCTGATAGGTGTCAGCACTGTAAGGATGTCAGATGTCAGTGTATATGACCCAGTTCTCATGATATATTTGAAGGTAGGGGAGCATGAAACCGCACGTGTGTGTGTGTGTGTGTGTGTGTGTGTGTGTGTGTGTGTGTGTGTGTGTGTGTGTGTGTGTGTGTGTGTGTGTGTGTGTGTGTGTGTGTGAGCATGTATGTGTGTATGAGCTTGTGTGTGTGTGTGATTATCATAATGATAATGATAATTATGATATTAATTAACCCAGTGGTGACAGGCATGACATGTGCGTACATGCTATGCCCACAGTGAGTTACTTGTTTGATTGTTTTTACAGATTGATGGCTACACTTGTACTAAGTCACCAATGAGCCTATTATGAGGACTGCCTGTTTCACCCGTTTACCCTTTTCTTTGATTTACAAAAATATTTTCCGTTATCTTATTTTGCTGTTACTAATGTTTATAACATTATAGTAATTATAATGTTTATAATAAAAATAACACCATCGATATTCATATCACAAGTTAAAAATACATTTTTCCCGCCAGTTCAGATCACGCAAGGTCACAAGTTCTACTAATTGACTCCTTTGTGGCTAAGCACTAGCAGAGCCATCTCTGTGCAGAGACATTTCTCAAAAAATATAGAAAATGAGAGCAGCATTTTCCCCATTTTTTATTCATTTTTCCTGGTGGCATTTGGTTAATAATAATGATAATGATGATAATAAAGAGGTTGATGGTAATCACAATGATATTGGTAATATTAATGGTGATAATAGAAGTAGTAGTGTTAATAATAGTAGGTATTAGTGATAGCAATAAAATACCCAACACTAACCATGACAACCAGCTTCTATCCCTACATATTGCCTACCTACCTTTCCTACACTCCCCTTCCCTAATCCCCTCCTTGTCTCTTTGACCTTGTATACAGTTAATATTGCAACATCTTTGGGAGAGGTTTAGAAACATATGGCAGGCTGTAGGAGTAGTTGGACTTTTGCTCCAGAAAGTACATTCTAGTATGAGAGAAAACGCAGACCCTTGTGAGCCATTGCCAAATAAGAAAGCAGTTCAAGCTTTTCTTGCCAGAGCAGATGTAGGATTGTTGACCTCAGTTGGAGCATGACTCAGTGAGGCTGCGGCGATTACTTGACAGTGGGCCACCAATATACCAGACTGCAGGTTGTAGGCCATCCATCACAGATCACAGCAAGTTTTAACTGGATGTGGATTGAATATAGCTAATATAATCATGAGAAAAGAAGACCCATTTTAAAAGCCATTGAGGGAGTGTTCCTAATAACATTTACAAATGGAACTTCAGCACATGGGTTGGTGTAATTCCCTGGTAGAGTGCTGACTTCATAATTGCAAATTTGTGTCA